TGAGCATAAAATTATTTGACTTTGAACACTAACGGTGCGTTTTCGTAAATTCCGCAATGTGTTCTCATACGAGTGTGCTGCAACCCTCCTGGTCGGTAATATTCAGCCTCATGGTTAACGCAGCACATCCAACACAGAGAAACAAAAATACAGTTGAAAGATTAAAACGTAAATTAAAACAGAAATACAGTCAAAAACATCAAATCAAAACTCCAGAACAAATTATATGTAGATTTTTAAGATAAATATCTTTGAATAATGATTTCAGTAGAATTTTATTAATTAAAAGAATGCAGGTGTGAAAAGGAATGATCAAGAATTGTCTTATGTAATTTTAAATTCGTGGGATCATTTATTTAAGCGGTATGCTGTTTTGGTTAAAATACTAATACTTTGCAACACGTAAAATGGAAGAGAATGAACAGGTGAATAAAAATCTAGACCTCTGATATTTTGAGAAAAATCACGAAACACTGTGAATCGTAGCATCTAATGTAGATTCCGAAGGATGAAAAGAGCTGAAGCTCATAAAAATCCTCTCTTACCAAAGTGGCTTCAGAATACTTTCGTCTTATTTTACGCAGGTTGTCTTGGATTCATAGAAGACTCCAGAGTTATGAAATTAACCAGAACTGTACTGTATGATTTAAAAATGAGATGGTTCTATTAAGTTAATAGGTTATTTACAGGACATGGAAAATGAAATTTAGTATAAATAATAGATACCGTTACAATAATTTTACTAAAATATCTGTTAATTTTCTTTAGAATAAGAATATAAAAACAAATATTCTTTCGAAATTCTATAAATACGACAAGTGTTTACTAAAACGAAGTGAGTGATGCATTTATTCGACCTGTTTTATGGGCTGTAGAATCAAAGCCATAACGTGATTAGGTTTTATTAAAGTTCTTAAATAAATACTTAATTCTTGAAAAAATTCTTAAAAAAGGAATTGCAGTGAAGATTGCTAGTGGTTTGGAAGTTGTTTCGTTACATAGGAAGAGAAATCTCTTTTCAGAATGGGGATTTGCCATCCTCTACAAATTTCCAATAAAATTATGTTTCTTTTTATTATTTTGTCTTATGAAGGATATATTTGCTAAGCTTGATGTTCTTGAGAAGAAATAAACTGGGGAATGGGGCAAAGATATAATAAAATCTATAAATCTAAAATAATAAAATCCAAAATCTATTAGTTTTAAATGAAATATTAGTCAAGCTGAAGTTTTAATTTAGAAAACCTTTGCATAAATGATTTTTAAAGGAAAAAAAAAAAAAAAAACCTTATAATTAAAATAAAATTTAAAATCTTTATAATAAAAGGAGTAAGATAGTAATTTACCTTAATTTAAAAAATAAACTGATGTTTTGTAGACATTGAATTGCAAAAATATTTCAGACGGGAATTTTAAGTGCTCTTTTCAAGACTGCTGTCATCTGCATCATCATTGCATCATTTGCATTCGTTCATTTGAATGCTGCAAACACAGTTGATGCATAATGTTACGTGAACAGCATTTTTTTTTTCGGAACTCGAACTCTGAAGGTTTAACTCAATATTTGAAATACATATTTGCAATTTATTTTACTTAAATATTTGCAGCAAGCTTATTCAATAACTTTGTAGATAGTAGTATTATTATAATTAAAGCGTTCAACTTTGAACGAAGCAAAGCACAAGAAAAAGAAATTGTATTTTGAAGGAAATTAACCATTTACTTTTAATATTTTAGAAATCTCAGTGCTTTTTTTTATAATAATACTGACAATAATAGTAATAGTAATAATAATAATAAAGAAAAAACTACTATAAAATTATTAAAATACAGATTACAAGCAAAGACTAGTTATTTATACTGAGAGTTTTACAAACACTGTTCGCTGTTGTATCTTTAGAACCATTGGTGGTAGACTCATCTACAAAAATATTGCAAATGGTGCAGAGAACTGAGTTATGACAATCTTTTGAAGCAAAAATTTATATAAAAGCGGTAAATTTAAACTTTTATCCATTCCTTCTTGAGCAAGATATTCACATACCGTCAAAAGAAAAGGTTTCTAATTAATATACAGCTAGATATTTATATCTACAAAAACAGTGATATAATGGCAAAATGAATATTACAATGTTTTTTTTTTTTTCTAACGAAATTGCGCAGAAATTCGAAAACCATGTAAAAACTGCAATAGTTCCGAGATTTTACATGATTTTTAAATTTTGTGACAATATTTCTCATGTAATACCATATGCTGAATACGAAAATAACACTAGTTATATCATTCTGCGCACAGATTTTGCCCAGTTCGCTTAATAATTTGTTATATGGGTTTGTAATGTTACAGACGACGGCACAGATCCAAAAGATTTGTGACAAATAGACTAAGTATTTTAATTTAGTTTCTTAAATTAAACAAAACCCCAGCTAATTCTGAATGCAACATCTACCAGTTAAAGGGAAGAAAGAAACATAGATTTTGTAGTCTAGTTCCGACTGGCATTTTTATTTACATTATTTTTTATTTAATTTTATGCTTTTTAAAGCTTCGAAGAAAATTAATCTAATCTTCCGACTCCAAATGAAGATATTAGCACCATTCTGAAGATGTAATTTGGATATCAAGTATAAGAAAACACGATACAGCTTTTCTTCCTAGCTTCTTTGCATAATCTAATCATTCTGATAATTAAATCTGTATTGTCAATTTAAAAGTGCAGAGAAATGGCATATGCAACCATAAATAAGATCTAGGTAGCTATTCAGAAAGGTCCTGCTCTAAGTAACCTATGAAACCCTAGTAACCTCTACATTTAGCCACTGAACAAGTCGCTTTCCAATGACAAGGTAGAAAAATTTCCTGTTGAATTCAAATATTCTGAAGTTAATTCAAAAATAAATAATTTAATAATTTCAGCGACTATTGTGTTCAGTACAAGTTTGTAATATCGATCTTCCCTAAAATTATTATTATTAAAGACCCAGCTGTCTATTCCTACCTTATTTCGCATCATACATTGATAGAAAATTAGTATTGGGAGTTATTTTGGCAGACAAATGATGGACTCTTGTCAGATCAATAATTTTAATTTCGCCTAATGAAGTTGTTCACTAGTAAGCATCAGCATTCCCCAACTTCAATAATATTTCTCAAAACCACAGACAATATTAAATTAAATTTGGATTTGAGCTCAATTATAGGAGCTTACAAGACGCCATAAACTTAAAGAGGCTAAGGCTTGATGTCAGTGACACTGTCTAAATTAAATTATCCAGTTGAATCCATTATGTATGTTCAATAATCCAGTATGCTTTAGAATTTATTTTTGTTTCTGTGGGAGAAAAGATGGGCCGGCAAGTATTCATCTTCCCAAATATTCATAAACTTCGTCCTACGGTATTAAAATAACTATAAAGGACGCTGGTTGTTTAAAAACTGTACTTTAATAAATTTTGTATTCTCCACAACAATTCTACTGCATTCATCATGAATCAACAACGCTTCGACAATGTTCTTGTTAGAGAATTCACTTGTTACGAGATAATAAAAGGTTAAATTCAATTTCACTTTACTATACTATATCTATTTTAAATAACGAACGCTGAAATGCTTTTTGGAATGCATAAAACAGTTTATAGAAATTAGAAAACTTGCATATACTATTGTTAGCGTATTTTTTCAAAGACAATTGTCAGTATTTCAATGAGGATTTATTTACTCAGAGCTTAACATACTGAATTCGAGAATCTCTCCCTTTTATAAGAGAAGTATCAGCCTTTATTAGACAACGTAGTTTTCTGGGTCATAAACTTTTTGTTCCAGTTTGAGGGCTGCCCATAAAAGGCTATTTTACTCTTTTTAATTCTGTTTTGCCCACAGTTATGAAAGGGGCATTAGTTCTGCTCGCAATTTTAAAGAAATTTTCAGTTGGAAGTAGGGTTTTAATAACAATGGTTCAAAAGATAAAACAGCGATCAATATATTTTAAACATCCTGAATAAATTAATACGTTTAAATATCCTGAGACATAAAATAAGGTAATTATTTTTTAAAATCAACCATTATAATGTATTAGAATGTAACTCGCTAAAACATATTCACTTTTTAAAATATTTATAAAGTAAAAATAATTGATAACTTAACACTGAAAAAAAGTCAGGCATTAAGATGAAAATTATCTGGTTGTATTACACCTTCTTGTTGCATCCTCTGAATGAATTCTGTTTGTGATTTTTAACTCCAATTATAACGCAGCATGAAAGTCACTCGGCACTAAGGCTTGTTCAAACATTGTATACGAAAGTCTCATATGATTACACAAAGTAATGAATGTTTTGTACTGTCTCTCTTTATGTACACTTTACACAGTCTTTTATATGTACATATATTTACAAGAGGTAGCGCAACAGATGCCTCATTTGAAAACTTCGATGCAACACGAGGGCAGTTTTGGAGCAGAATTGCCGATTTTTAAAGCAATGTGCGAGTCGAAACTTTTTAAAACACATGAGTGAAAATATTAGAAATTAAGTAACTATTTTCTAATAGAAAAGGAATTGAAATTTGTCAATGCATGAAGTATTTTAATAACAAAATTTAAGTTAATATTTAATCTGCGATCAGGTATATCGAATTTTTTAAGCACGTTAAATACTCAAACTTTAAAAAATTAATTTTTACTTAATAAGCATATCTCCTTGTTTGGAGGTATGTCAATATTTATTTAAATGATGAACATAATTCACTTACCAAGCTTTGTCTGTCTAATTCTTTATATGAATTTATTCTCCAATTTCATGCATATAATAGCAACAATAAGAAAATATTTTTAATGTAATTCCATAACATTTATTTTATCATAATTGAATCTTCATAAGGCAAATAGATTTTGCAGCAGCATGTATATGTATGTAGACTTAGTCTCGTCACCTATCTACATAATTTTGGTTAATATATTGTTAAACATGTGTCGTGTAGCCTATCAAATAAAATTGCACATTTAACCTCTACTTTCTCAATTTGAAGGCAGGGTATCCATGTGCTGTTACTGAAAATGCAATTGATAAAGTTGCATATTTCGAAGGATAAAGAACAATCATATGCTGAATAACAAAATTAAGTTTTCGTGAGATAATTCGCCTTTGCAGAAGATGTCTACTAATCTTGTTCTAGGATTTGTAAACATATACATGCTTGGTATAATTTTCAAGATTATTCTTCTGCTCAGCCAGGAAGTTACAATGCGTAGTCAAATAGGAATAATATTGACAGATAAATTGTAAAATCAGAAATAAATAATAATATTCATGTAAAATGTGATTCGTAACTTATTAGAGTTTCCTAACTTAAATCATAATAACTGAGCATTCGCAGCATGAAATGAAAGATTTAAAAAATTATAGTAAAGGAAAGAACATTTCTTTTAGATTTTCAGCAATACTGCTCCTTTGAAATCTGCTGACTTTGTCTTCCGTTAGAAGTTTGAAGTTATGGAGTGAAGGGTGTGCCCTGCTAAGGGAGAATGTTCATTGCTTGGGGGCGTGGGCATACCAGTTGCCGACTGACAAATGTACCACTCGCTGAGATTCGTTGGGTGGTGGTGGTGGTGGTGGTGATGGTGCGCGGGAACGGTTGGCGGAACTGCCGGTGGTGAAGCGAGAGTAGCGGCGTCTTCTGCGGCTAAACCGCCGGCATCACTATCGTAGCCGGATCCGGACGTGCAGCTGCCCGGAGTTGTGCCAGGAGGTGTCGGTGACTTGCCGTGAACTTTCATATGTTTCCGGAGCGAACTCGGATGAGTATAGCTTTTGTCGCAACCACGAATCTTGCAATTATAGGGCTTGTCGCTTGTGTGGACATGTGAATGCTTCTTTCTGTCAGAGCTGTTTGCAAACCTCCTATCGCAGCCATCAAATTCACATTTAAAAGGCTTTTCTCCTAGAATTAAAATAAAAGACATTAGATAAGTGAATTGGAAGCAATAACTATTCATGTTTCAATAATATCAAGCTCAAATAGATTATCGCTTATAGAAGAAAATAAGTGGGAAGCCTCATTGGATAGAAAAATAACAACAAGGAAAATTTGCATGTTTTTTTGGAAGGGTGTTATTAAACACAATATGCAGAATAAGAATGGTAGATATAATTCTAATTATCCAGTTAAACTTTGGAAGAAAATAGAATCTAAACCTCTATCTATTAAGTTGTTCGTGAAGAATTTTTGATCAGTTTCTGAAAAACATGAATCATTTTTCAAAGTCCATTCTTAACTTCATCCAGCTTGCTATAAAGTGATATAAACTCAGACAAAATTTCCATCTTCCATGCTTTTGTACCTGCCTTTTAGTGAAAGGCTTTTAGTGCCTTTTAGTGAAAGCAGTAAATTAGCAATGACAGAAATAAAACCTTTTTAGTTTCATTTGCTTAGAATGATTAAATATCTGAACCACGAATTAAATCTTTTCTGTGACATTACTTTACAGATGAAACTAACTAGACATTAAATATTTGAACATTTTATCATCTATGGCTATCATTTTCCCTTTCTTAAGAAGGAAGTTCCGAAAAATTGATATCCTTCTTTAAAAAAGGTTCTCAGATCTAATGATATACTTTAATTACTTTCTTGGTCAGAACTTTTGGCCAGAAACTTGGTGCATAATATTTATTTTATTCCAGGTTTCTATTTTCATGGTTAAGTTTCCCACTAAAGCACAACTTCCTTAGGTAGAGGACTCTGGTGTACTTGTCCTATTTGATTAAATAAAAATAAGTATCCATTGTTTTAATTACAAATTTTTAGTTTGAATTTTCTATTGAAATTATTATCTTAATATTACTTTAGTTTCACATATTGTTTAATCAGTAACAGTGTACTTGTATGTGTACAGTTATTTGCGAATGGAATAACAATTTTCTTTTCAAACTTAAACGTAGATAAATAGAAATCTGTTATTTTTTCTTATCAGCGATAATTGTTTATTTCCTTTCTATTTTCTAATAATCAGCCTCCTTCTGATTCCTTGTACGGGAAGGCAAGCTTCGTAGAAACAGAACAATTAAGAGAAGAATAATTAAAGGTAACCTCAAGGCAAATCGAACGTTAGATTAAGAACTTTAGACTAGATTTCGTCTGAACTTAAGGTGTTTAAAAAGTATTTAGCTTCTTCAAAGAAGAATGTACTGAAATGATATGAAAAACTTTGTTTTCTTTTGACACTACATTTATTCAAAATTCATTTACAGCAGTGGAAGAAACAAATTCTGAAAAAAATAAAGTACACATATGCACACATGTTGCCATTGAGTATGAAGCATTCTTTATAGAGCTTGGAACTAATTCATACTCTCAGGATATACAATTTCGTTGGATCTCATCATATGTTCATCTCATAATTTTTTTATAGTGATATCTAATAGACTAAACTGGTTCTGGAACAATTTTAAGGAAAACATTTAGTGTTTAAATTTGGTCTATCTCCTTTCTCTCTGTATTCATCCATTTTCCTTTTATTTTTAACAATCTACCATGTTTAAAAAATAATAATAAAAATAAAAATAAATGGTTAGCTTAGTCATGGAGGTAGGTTCTAAGAATCCATAAAAAATGATCTAGTCAAGTCTATGGCGTATCAGAAATAATTCTTTTATTGATTTATTTCTGAATAGAGGGAAAGAAGTCAATGCTTTAATAAGATCTAATTCAATAAATTACGAATAATATTCAGTAAAAACTAAGAAAGGCCTAACTTTAAACACTGCTGTAAAATACAGACATTTTAAAGTTTTAGAACACACTTTTTCTGTTCTGTGAAAATTTGGTTCTTAACTTTTTTACATTATTAATCCATACTGTCTGATATGTATCTAATTCTCTCAAATGGGGAGGGGGCATTCGCTTTTAAGCTAAGATCTTCAGTTTAATTATTCTTTTATTATACTCGCTTTTGAAATAAAATTTACATAAGAACTTTAGATATGAAAAATATATAGAACTACGAACGGCTATAGTAATATATTTCGAGTCTCCGTAGTAAAAGCTTTAAGTTATTTTGTTGTTTGTTTTATGGGATGTATTTATTGTCAGTGTTACTATAATAAACTCTCACTTATGTAATACCGAATAATTTGTCGCTTAAATAACGCTGTACTTCATTTCGTGTTTATGACGCATATGTCCGTATGATAGCTAAAATTTATGGGGAAATGTTTCAAACTCAGACGTCATAGGTAGCTCCAAAAACCGGGATTATGTAGAATAAGAATTATGTGCTCTTTCTAACAGTTTCAATTGTCTACTATTTTCGGTAATTACTACAATCATTTGCAATTTACGGTTATTATAGCTAGAACAGGAATTCATATTCTAATAAATACTCTTGAAAATGAAGTACTGCAACATAATACCTTTACATAAATGTAAAATATTCTAACATAAAGTATTATTATTTTTGAATAAATTAATTTTTGTTGCAAGTACTAAGCATGGATTTTGAAAAAAACTGCTTTTTGCCTAGTTTTAAATTTTACATTGGCGCGTTTCTCTTTCAGTGTTAGGAAATTTTTATTTGTATTTAATATTTTAATCTTATCAAACTAACAAATGCATATATATCTGATAATGAAGATTAGCAATTTTTTATAATACTTCAAGCTCAGCCAGAAATAAGTAAACTAAAGTATAATGAGAAAGAATAATCAAAAATAGTACAGGAAAAGTAAAACAAGATATTAAGTATCTCGCCAAACTAACTCGCAGCACTGCTTTAAAAGGTTCGTGCCCCGGAGAAATGTAAGAAGATACTCATTTTCTGAATGAAACATTGAAAAATGCATTAAAGTCAAAAATTAAGTTTAAACTAATTATATTCTATAATTTTGAATAAAAAGTAGCTAATTATTCATTTATGCAATCCAGACCCTACATGAATAAAAAAGTAATAAATACATGGTGAAAATCTGGACTTAAGATTAGGGTATCCCACTGGAAATCTATTTACATTATAAATTTAAACCAAATTTGCGCCATGTACTTGTTATGTGCTTAAGCTGTGTAGGGAATGGCCTATATTAATGAACATTTAGCTATTTTTTATGGAAAATTATAGGATTTAGTTATTTAAAATTTAATTTTCGGCTTTACTGCAATTCAGAAATATGACTTTACCACTGCATTATCTTATGTTATCAACTTTTTAAAGAGATGTTATGAGATATATAACAGATGGTTTTACTTTTCTTGAAGTATATTTGGTTCGTCCTTTCTCTTATACTTTGGGGTACTGAGTTTTAGCCGATCCCTGAAAGATAATATGTTTTGTTTTCTTTTTGCCATTTATTATTTAACTTATAGAGTCATTAGGGTTTTTGATGCTGCAGAAAATGTGCACCGGGACTCGAACCCTGAGCCTCTCGATACCCGCCGAGTGTGCTACCGTTACACCATGAAGGCATTCTGGAAAGAGGGGGAAGATACCTTATAAACTAAATGCAGCTTTTAGCGAGTTCTTCAGTTTATGGACTTGTTTAGCTTATTTCATTCATTGCTCCGTTTAGTTTATATATATATTATATATTTTTTATGGAAAATTATAGGATTTAGTTATTTAAAATTTAATTTTCGGCTTTACTGCAATTTTCAGAAATATGATTATTATTTAACTTATAAAGTCATTAGGGTCATTACGTAATTATATATAGAGTCATTAGGTAATTATATATATATTATATATATAATCAATCTAAAGCAAAATAAATCTTTCTATAGTGGCAAACTTATTAACAAGAGGGGTAAACCCACAAATTTGGCTTTATGTACGTATAGTCTATATAACTTACTAACAGGAAGGCAAAAAGTCAAAACTGAAATAGAAGTAAATTATATGTAGATATATATTATAAAGTTACACGTGATCTGGTAATGCTATTTTAGTCCTATATACATAGCAGACGTGAAGCAAATTATCACTGTGTCTACGATAAATGACAAAGTCTTAAGAAGGTTATAAACCTTTTTATTTAAACAGAACTTGGAAAATAAGGGAAAGGCTCTTGTCTACAATAGCCACAACTCGCAGTGATGCAAATAGTAAATAGTACTATCGAATTTAAATTAAACGTTGAACAGTAATTAAGGTCTACATAATTTAATACTAAATCAGATGACAGCTCAATAATACTGCCGACGCATTAGAATTCAAACTAACGGGAGCGAGAATCTGCAAACACGAATAATTATAGCTGCTAGAGCTAGCAGAAACTAACCACGTAGCGTGCAAATGTTAGAAACACTCTGTCTCAAAACCAAAAACGTCAGCTTAAATACTCACAACTAATTTGCATTCTGGTGAGGAATACGGAAAAGACAAGTTATAAAAAAGAATGAAAGCCTAATAACTGGTTAATTAACATAAGATACCCTACAATGTATATATTTTTAAAATAAAAACTGAAGTAAAAGTAAATTAATGTAACAAAATTCACACAATATTAAATAATAATGAATAGTTGAAAGTTCTTTGATCTTTGTGAAGGGACAATCGAAAGAATTTACAACACAGAGCCACGGTTCTGAATTATATCAGCGTGAGTCAAACTAATTCTAGAAAATTAAAACCGAAAGAATTAATTTTATAAAAATTTTAAAAATTAAGTGAGAATAAATACAAATACAAAATAAAAAGTTTTTATGAAACTAAAGAAAAATTAAATAATGATAAAGTCTGATATTATTTGAATGCATTCTTCAAGCTATGATCTGCTCCGACGTGACTCAAAATTAGTTACACAGTAAATAAATATGACTAAAAGTCATAAATCCTTTGCCCGCATCGACGTTTTCGTGGTTTACCCCGTGTGTAACGAGTGTACAAGCCAGTTTCCTTTAGAAAGTTCTCCACGAAGGCTTTTCTCCCTTTAGCCAAGTAGCCCTCGAGT